TGAAGGAAAAAGTAAACCAGGCCCAAAACTCCAAAGAGAGAAGAAGCATTCCCAAGTCTTCTACAACACAGTAGTATTGCTCTTGCAGGTACCTAGGTAATCTTGTTCAAGGCTGTATCCCCAAGGATCAGAGCAGACCCAGAGTTGTAGTAGATCCTCAGTGAAGATTTCTTATGTCAACACTCCAAAAATTAATAGTTTGCTACGAAAAAAAAAAGTTTGCTACAAATCCAAAAAAAAGTGCCTTGCTCTTAAAAGGCTACATCATTTTACAGAAACAGAAGGAACCTGAGAAACCTCATATTCTCTGCTCTCCAACATCTCTGCCAGAAAAACAAAAACATAGCTTCTGCTTAAAAATCTCCCAAGACAGAGAAATCTACTCTCTCAAGCAATATAAGCCTTGTAGGGCAATGTGAACCATCATTTATTCCCCATGCCCACCCCAATCCAGGACTGATATTCCCCATCGAGAACACTTAACCTTTCCTCATGTAAAATGGCTGACAGTAGTCTCAGCTTCCTTTTGCCTTCCTCTGTTCACTTCCTTATTTGACCAAGATTAACTTGTTGTGGGGCCCCCACACCTGTTCTCCAGACCAGGAACCAACCCACAGTGAGTGCCTCAATCTCAACACTTTGAGTTATGAGTTTTGAGTTACGAGTTATGCAGCCAATCATTTAGGCCACACCCCAGGTTCAGGTTGAGCCTGTTACCACTAACCCCCTCAGTTCTTTCACAGGCTGTCTCACACCTGACTCATATTTTCCAGCAGGTTGTATACTTTTTTTCTTATGCAACTCATTTCCCCTCTCTTTGCAGAGCTGATACCAACAGGCCACTTGTTACCTTGAGCTGCAGAGACCTAGAAGTCCATTGTACACTTTGTCCAGAAGGCTGAGGATGTGCCCAGAACCAAGCCCCTGGAGGTAGAAGAAAGGCAGCAGTGGGGATCTCTTCATCAGCTCTAATCTTGCTCCCTTACTCTGAGCAACTTTAAATCACTCCAAAACAATCCACTCCCTCCAGCCCTCCTCTTTCCTCCTCTTCCCTACTCTGAAGACTGAATATGCTGCTCTGATTCATGATGACAGAGTGAAGACCAAGCCTAAAAAATACAGGATCAGGAAAGTCAAGCGCATTTTATACTGTAAGAACAACTTCCCCCAACTCTCTCCACCATTGCTCCCCCGTGTTTCTCAAGGCCTCTGCCCCTGCTGCTCTGGCCTTCCCAAGCCCTGGCCAGGCCTGAGCCAACAAGTCCCACAGCCACTCCCAGACTTCAAGCAATGCCAGAGAAAGGTTAAGGACCAGGACTGACTGGTTCCACCTCTCCTAGCCCATTCTAAACCTCTCTCTTCCCCTGAGGCCTGGCACCCCACCCACCCACCAACACCCTCCTACCCTAATAACTGCAGGTCTCACATTTGTCTTCACACTCAGGCCATCTGAGTTGGGCTCCTCCACTTTCCTCCTTCCCAAAGCATCTTTAATATCAATTAAATTTAATTCACTACACATTACAAGATTCCTAATACGAGCCACATCCCTACCCACAAGGAGTTCTTAGTCCACTAAACAATTATATCGCAGTATGGTATAAGTGTACAACAAAGAAGTGGGCGTGGTATTGCTAGTGCTGCAAAGAAGTGGATAATTCTAACAGGCTTCCCAGGAGGGAGTACTGGGCTAGTTTTGAATATGACTAGCACTCACTAAGTAGATAGCTGGGGGAGAAACATTTCTTTTCCATTCTTCTCCTTCCTGCTGCTTTCAGAGACTGACTTCTCCCACTTGTAGCCCAAACTTACTTTTTCACCTGCTCCATTAAATATCTCATTTATTTTTGCATCTTCAATTTCTTCCTCTCTAATAAATAATGTCCCTCAGTCTAAAATGTGCTTGAGTTTATTTTACTTTCCCAAAAAATATTGCCCTGACCTGGCCAGCCCAACAGAAAGCTACCTTCTCTCTTTTCAATCTTTTGTGTGTGTCTGGTAAAATATACACAAAATTTACCATTTCAACCATTTTTAGGTATACCATTCACTTAATGAATTATACAATGGCATTAAGTACATTCGCAATGTCGTGCAATCATCACTACTCCCTATTTCCAGAACTTTTTCATCATCGCAAACAGAAACTCTACCCACCCATTAAGCAATAATAACTCCTTATTGCCCCTCCAGGCCATGACAGTCTGTAATCTATTTTCTATCTCTATGAATTTGCCTAGTCTAGATATTTCATATAAGTAGAATTATACAATATCTGTCCTTTTGTGTCTGACTTATTTCACTTACCGTAATGTTTCAAGGTTCATTCATGTTGTAACATGTATTAATCAGAACTTCATTACTTTTTATGGCTGAATGCTAATCCTTTATGTGGATATACCTCCTTTTGCTTATTCATTCATCTGTTAATGAACATCTGGGTTATTTCCACTTTCTGGCTATTGAGAATAGTGCTACAATGAACACTGGTATACATGTACCTGTTTGAGACCCTGTTTTCAATTCTTTTCAGCATGTACCTAGGAGTGGAATTGCTGGGTCATATGGTAATGCTATGTATAACTTTTTGAGGAACTGCCAGACTGTCCTTGGTTCTCAATCTCTTCAACCTCAAGGCTTCAAGTGACCATCAAGTCTACATCACTCACACACACCATTATCCACATTCCTTCCCCGCTATTGATTTAATATCTCTGAATGCCGTAACAGCACCTCAAATTCAGGATGTCCAAAACAACTAATCATCTTCCTTCCTAAATCTTTTTTTTCTCCTGTAGAACTATATAAGGAGCCCAGGTGGCGCAACAGTTAAGTACTTGGCTACTAACTGAAAGGTTGGCAGTTCAAACCCACCCACAGCTCTGTGGGAGAAAGACCTGGCATAAAGATTACAGCCATAAAAGAAAATCCTATGAGGCAGCTCTACTCTGTCACATAGGGTTGCTATGAGTGGGAATCAACTCGATGGTACCCAACAACATATAACTATATAGCCAAGTTACCCAGCCCCAAACCCTTTTCACTCTTTTGTTTCTTTCTACCTTAGTGTCTGATTAAGTCTTTCCAATTTCATTTCCACCTTATCATCTACATTCAGTCCTCTTTTCCTGCTGTCATTACTGTGGGTCTAGTCCTTCGTATTTCTAGGACACTTATTATGACAACTTCCTCAATGGTCTCTGAGCCTCCAGTCTTTCCCCATGTTGTCTGCCCTTAATAATATTAAACCATGTTCTCCAAGGCTGTAAACGGAGGGAGAAGCCAACATAAGGACAGGAGGCTCAACCAGGCAAGTTTGACTTCCACTTCCCAAAATTCACCCCACAGCTTTTAAGTGGTTACAAATGACTTCGGGTGGTTACCTACTATGTTCAACCATCTTAACCCAGCAATTCAATGGGACCAAGTGGGACTGTTTCCTAGGCTACAGAGTCTTAACACAAAGATCCTGAGATAGACTCCAAGCTTCTACAAGCCCTACTGTACAACTGCTGTGGAATATAAGACCAAGTTAGGGAATGAGGTTAGAGAGCCTGTCAGAGCATCTGGTGTACAAAAAGGGCCATTCTAGAAGGTTGAATCATCAAGAGAAACACCCAACAGAAGGTAAAAATCACAGGGTAAAGAGAATTTGGTGGACAAAAAGTCTAAGCCTCAAAGTTCCCCCATATTTCCACACATGGAAATTCCCCTCAATTTCAGCATCAGCGTTTAGTTTTATTAAGGAAGCTAGGGTCTCCTTATACACACTTTTCATATCACTTCCTGGTAGAAAAACCTGCAATGGCTTCCAATGGCATTCCACTGCCAAGGAACAGCTAAATTCAAATGTCTTGCTTTGTCAGTCAAGGCACTCTGTCTCCTGGTTAAGTACAATCTGCTTTTCCACCCCCATTCCCATTCCTCTCCCACATACCACTCAAACTGAATTACATGCCCCAGGCTTTTGTGCCTTCCAGCTCTTCCTCAGGCTGTCCCCTCTGTCTGGAATTCATTAATTCCACACATATTTGTGGAGAGCTGACTGTGCCCTCTGCTGTGAGCTGGGATGCCTTTTCCTCATCTTCCCATATCCAAACATTACTAACCCTTGATGGCTCAGCTCAAGCCTCTCATCCGCGAGGCCATGTGGAGGCAATCTTTCCCTTCTCTGACCACCCACACCTTCTCAGGGCACTATGGCATTCTGCCCTCTATGACAGTTATTTGTGTAAATGTCATATCCCCTACACGGCTGAATACTCTTCGTAACTCCCGCCACACTAAGCATTGCATTTTGCTGGGAGGGCAACTACTCCAGTTGCCTGGAAATGGATTATTCTCTTGTTTGTCTCCTCCAGACTATGAGCTCAATGAGGGCCAGCACTGCGTCCTCGAATCCAGCACATAGAGGGGAGCTGTTATTCAAGAACTGTCTGTTGAATGAATGAAAGAATGAGCACGAATGAACGAACACTTGGTTTCTGTAAACGTTCTTACACTTCTTTCTCACCATACTAGCATTCGGTTTTTCACTAAGGTGAAAACATTAAAAGGTAAAAAGAAAATAGCTTCGGGTGAAGAATTTGTCGTTCAAAAGCCACAGCAGAGCAGGAAGCGTGACAGTGCAGCCGGGAACGCCCTTGCACGCAGGGCGCGGCTCTCTCTGCGCGGGCGCTCGCACCCAACCTCCATCTCGCCCCAGGTCTCGGTAGGAGCGGGCGGCCAGTCCCCGGGGGCAGGCTCAGAGCCATCTCGAAACAGGCGTCCCCCGGAGGCTGTGGGGACTGGGAAGACCGAGCGGGGAGCTCCTCTTGCTTCTTTGAGCTCCGTCTTCCTGATCCCGAAAGGCCTGAACGAGCCCCATCTGCAATCCACGCCCCCGGCTCCGGGCCCGCCGGGCCCGGGGTCGGGGAACCCTCCCAGGCGCTCCCGGCTTTCTCGCGGGCCCAGCCAGGGGACCCGCGGGGCACTTGCTCCCACTCTCCGTCCGCACTCACCATCTAGGTCCGGCGCTGCGGTCGCGCCGCGGACAAGGCCGAGCAGCAGCAGGAGCGGCAGCAGGCGGCGCGGTGGGCGGTCC